GCTATGGCGTTGTGGTAATAATTTAATAGTTAAATGTTACAATAAGTGCGTTTATATGAGTATTTATACAGATGAATCCGTTCATAATGATATCCAAGGTAATTGATCAAAAAGTTAAAATAAGCAGACGTTATACCAATTATAAGCATTTTGTGAAAATTACACTATTATGCAAAAATGTATGTACTGAAGAATTCTAATACAGAAATGCAACAACCAAATGTGTTATACATCTATACATATAAACATAATTGAAGTATCTATTTGTAAAATTCAAATAGCAATTTTTTATATATTCAGGGTACACATGCCAAATTAGCATTTTAATAAAAATTATATCTATTTGTTTCGACTAAGCTCTAAACTGCTAAATCGACATTTACAAAACTTTTATTGGCAAGAAGCTGATGTATTTAAGCGTAACTTAGGCTACTCTTATTTTAGAATAAAAGTGTCTTATTTTATCTCACCTGATCTGGCCGCGCCCGAGATTATGTCCACCTGAAATTAAAAAAAAAAAACAAATTGAATTAGATTGAATGGTTGCAATTACTTGATAATAAAATTACAACTACAAATATTTGAAAATGATAACGAGTGTGCTTATATGAAACAATATGTTCTGAATGAGTAATTGCCGAATGCAAAATTTCGAACACAAGTTAAAATATCCTCTCACAAAATTTGTACTTTTATTTTTAATTTTACGAAAATTACCAAAAATTATAAAAATGAACTTTTTGAACACCAATACTAACTAAAAATTTAACAATGTTTTATAAAAGTTTAAAAGCAAAAAATATAATATATAATATAACATATAATTGAATAATGAAGACCTACTAAATGTCAGTGACTCTGATTAAAAAAAAACATGATTTATTTAAAATAAAATATTAAGCTCCTGAATAGTAATGATTACGTTAAATCTTGCTTTTTACTTCCAAAGAGGAAATCTCTTCAAAAACATGAGAGATGCCAAAGATAGTTGTCTTAGCTCAAGAAAATGATCCACCACATATTGTATATAATAAAATTTCACAGTAATGTTAATACACGATACTAAAAATAAATGGCAATTTGAACCAAAATGCAAAAACTCTCAACTTTTTTTGTTTATTATTTGCCATAATAATAGTCATTACATCCTACTTTTTTATACGGAAACCAAACTTCTACATGAAAACCAAACTTGGTAGTGTAATCTTGGTACCTTAAAATAGCAGTTGGTCAATATAAGAGTCACCATAAAGTGATGTTTATAGGAGAGTTATAGCAACAGAGTTAGTCATAAACTATATTATTTTTTTTTAATCTTGATTGGACATGTAAACCGCCCCGGATCATATATTGTGCTACCGCTAACCGAAGCAAAAAATAAAAATGTGCAGGTCTGTCATTTGTGACATATATTAAATTGAAAAAATTATTAGAGTCATTATTTTTGTAGAGTTTCAGCACTACACCAGATCCCTATTTTAAGAAGACTGAAGAGGAAATTTCCATATAGTTTTATTAATTTATTTAATTAACTGATTAGTTAACTGATCAATGAAACAGTTTTCTATTCTATGATTATATTATTATCATTATTATTATTATTTATTTATTTATTATTATTACATTATAGATTTGTTTAGATTATATTTTCACTGTAGCCTACAGAATAACTTACTTTATTTTGATTGTTACATACAAATTTTATAAAAAAAAACAAAGAAATATTTTCGTCGTTTTGTCGCCACTACTTGCTTTGGTATATACAACTATTTTCAACAGGGTAAATTGTAAGGCCGCACTTTTACTAAAAAATTATTATTTGTGACATAATGAACAATAGTTAGACTTTTAATTTTTGCTTGATTTAGTAGAGAGATACTTGCAGCATCTGCCCATCTTTATTTCGTAAAAATATAATTAGTGGATATCAAGATATTTTAATTTATAGAAAGCTCTTAGCACAATAAGCACCTAGCTTCTCTATATATATGACGCAAAAATGTATTTGTCTTCTTCGCAAAAATGTCTTTGATTTTAATGGAGCCTAATTTAAGAAATATAAGATATTAAAGTTCATTGTGAGTTTTTCATAAATATAATGTATCTTTTTTTTTCATGTGTAACATTTGTTTTAGTTTGTTGATTTTTTCTCCTGAACTGATTTCGAAATAATTCCCGCAGGTATTTCGTGGGTACGATATTGCAGTTCCAGATACACCGAGCGCTGTGCCGCGCCGCCGGCCAATACGACCCCGGCGACAGCACGAAACCGCTGCACAAGTGCGACATATACCGCAGCAAGGAGGCGGGCAGAGTTCTCACGTAAGTAACTTTGACGTAAAGGAATAGTTGGGACGGAAATAGAATCTATTATAACTTTATTAGTTTCGAGACTGGAGTAGTCTATATTATTGACTTTAAAGATGGTTCAGTTCAAGGATACTTTAGTAAGGTTAAGCATTTTCAATAACACTAGACTATTTAGGAATTGTTAACTTCAATAAGAGAAGTTGAAGTTGTCACTAATTAATATGATTCGTTTAGTTTCTATTTTCGAAATCTTGACATGAAATTATAAAAAAAAAGTATGTGTGTGCGTATGTGACTTTGTTTCTTAGTGAAACTGTAAATAATCTATTTTTTTAACAGTTAAATAAAATATTTTCCGTATTATTATTTAGTTTTCCTATATGGAAGACAAACTGATATATTACTTATCAAACTTACTGACGGTAACTACAAACGGCACTAAACAAAGCACTGCGACCAGTATTGCACCCCTCTAAAAGTTCTAAATCTACATTTAAGATTTCGAACTGATATAAATCTCTTCAAATGAAATAAATTGGGAGATAAAATGTGATTTAAAAATTTTGTGCACTAATCATGACTACGCTTCGTACCAAAAAAGCAAAGGTAAACAGAGCTTTAAGCTACCAATTATTTGATTAACAGAAAGAAGAAATTCGGGTAATAGTAATAGTTTAAAAAAAAAAATTAAGTAAGTAATTAAACTTTAGCCACCTAATGAACTGTACTGAAATTTAATAAATTTTGTCACTTATAGAAAGTTTTTAATTCAAATAATATTTGAATAGCTGACAGACAATAATGTAGTACTGAAATAAATAAAAATAGATTAAAAATCGATTCCTTATTCATAAAATTCAAATTAAAGATTTTATATTATATATAAGAATTTTTATAATTATATTATGAATAAAGTTAATAATGAAATGAAAAGTTACACACGAATAGAGCTAAATTTTACCTATATCAGTTGATTTGCACCAAAACTTAAGGAGTCTCAACATTGCAATTAACAAAAGCTTAAGCTCGCTAAGATTTTTATTTATCTAAAATGCAAGAATCATTGAAATGATAACATAGGGTATTAGGTGTGGCAAACACTACATGCCAAACCAAATCCTTTTACTTTTCAATTCTTTTTTTAAACTTTCCGTGGGGAAAGTTATAGTAATCGCCAAAAAATCGAAAATGAAAATGTTTTCATATATTCACGTTTCATTTTAGCATGCCTTAGATAAAATTGGCGTTTTTTTTGTATAGCAAAAGAAATGCATTTATGCATCCCAGACAGACCTTTTGTCTGAGTATGTCGGATATTTACATTTTCACCTTAACTAAAATTCTAAAGCTCCCTTATAAACTTGAAATAAATAATTTCAACTTTGCAATTCAATTTATTTAATTCCCAGAAATATGTGACAAGATCCTCTCTAACGCCCCTTCATTAGGTTCTATTCATTTACTTTTCATATAAACTTATATAAACGTTATTGTCTAATGTATAATCTCTTATATATTGTCTATAAAATACGAATAATAAAAGTTTTAGTGCTCATAATAATATATTTAAAAACATTTAATATTCCTCGAATATGGTATGGGAAGTTCCAGCAATTTGCCTTGAGGCACGGCCATAAATTACTAGTTTTTTTTATGTGTTATTGAGTTGCATTTAATAATTCAGTCATTTCTTTATTCGTATTCTTATTTAATCCCACAAGTAAATAATTGCTTGTATTTTAAGTGTCAATTTTTTTAATTTTTTTGTAAATAACTGGCATATTGAGTATAATAATTATTTAAATTATAAAGATAGGTAGCATACTTATTTATCAAGTTCAGAATGTATTAAACCAATCTTTTATGAGCCAAAATCTTGACTAGATGATTGTAACTATTATGAAAAAAACTGGAAAATCTATCCCAAGCTTTGATATAAAATATTGATTCATAACAAAATTATATATCACAAAATTCTAATTTTCTTCAATTACATAATCATAATATTCTTCTCTTCGTAAGCTTACCACGCAACCCAGATATATGAAATACAATAGGTACTTGTCAAGAATCTAATAATGAAATATTTTGTCATGATTTATTATTACATTGATTATAAATATCACTCTACTAGTCTTATTCTATCGCAAATTGAATTGTAACTTATAAATTTATACCACAACCTGGTTATTACCATTTACAATTTTATTCATGCATATTGATATAATTAGTAGTCAATTTACGCTGTGAATGGCAAATTATTTATTGTTTACTAACCTTGTAGAATAAATATTATTTATTAGATATTTTACGCAAATCATAATTACTTACCAATGATATATGGATATAAAATGATACATATAATGGGTATAGATATTTATATGAAAAATAAATGTGAATACCTTATGAGAATGCTAACTTTTAAAATTGAAAACCCACTGGAAATAATTTTTTCTTGTCATCTCCATAAAAATTCAGCGAGATAATATTTCAGAATTTATCTTATAATTGACGATTAATAATTGAAGATCATAGGGCTTAGTGCTAAAAATATAGAGCAACTTTTTATCCAATTTGGTAAGATAGTTATTATTGAAAAATTACCCACTAATTAAAAATTAGCCAGGCTTTTCAACCATTGTCAAGACTCTCGGTATTGGCCAATGTATTTAATTATAGACAATTTTGCAATCTTAAGTCGTAATGGAAGTATGCTTCACTTTATTTGTTCTATGAGAATAATAAAATATAAAGATTTTGGAGGATCAATTTTTTAAATTATGCATATTTGGATGAAGTGCTATGTTTTAATTTTTTTGCGGTTTTATTTATGATACAATTTATTAATTAAATCTAATCATAAACTAGGTGTATGTGGCATTTGCCTTGAGACAAACCGGATAATCTTCCGCGATGCGTGTAAATAATCGATAAGATCAATAAGAACTGATTTAGTGACTTTTGAAATTGACAATGTACTTTCTTCAATATAAAAAATTCACTTTTATTTAAGATGTAATCAGTACGAATTTTATCAATTTAAATCAAATTTGTGCAGTCATTTTTAAGAAAACATCGAAGAATTATTGGCTTACACATACACATGCATACGTGCTTATTCCAATTTGATTTTTTGACTTTTTTCAGATGATTTAAAATCATCAGAAAAAAATATTAGCAAATCCAATTTATTTGATATTATTGGTTATAATTGGCTTGAAAGTGGTAATAAAACAATGTCCTTAATAATAACAACACCGGAAAGCAAATGTAACAAAATTCGCAAGATTGGTTATTGCACATGTTCTGAAGATAATTCAATTAAGAACCAATTCTGCCAAAAAGAAACCAATGTTAAAATGCTCTTTCATTTAAATTGGTACCAAAAACTGTCAAAATTGTATGGATTTTGATGTGCAATCAGGCGTTTTAATACAAAACCTAACCTAGAAAACAGACATTAACAAAATTCTTATCATAAGTGCATCTTTCTAAGTATCTAAAGATCTTTTGTATAAACAGTTTTTATACATAAACCAGCCTAACATTTTAGATTTACTTTAATTATTGACACAAAATTACCCTATAATATAATATTATCGGTTCCTTAACCACAGCCAAAAAATATTTTGACCAATGTTTTCAATCATCAAAGCATCTGAAAAATAATCTGTGAATACCATCAAAATATAGAATTTGTGAAGTGCACATATTTTATTTTTAAGCGATTTTGTTTGTGACTCACAATAAATACTACTCAAATAATAATGCCAATTCGATTATAATAACAAATTGAGATAAAACGAGTGGTGTATGGCATCGTGCATTACCGCAAATTTCAGGAACTTTCCGTATCGTAACAAAATGTTCGAGGAATATTAGATATTTATATATAGATTATTATAATTACTGTAAATTATCTAATTAAATTTGAAAGTTCACATCAATTTTTTAGAGTATATAAGTGAGGTTTAGAATTTTAGCCAGAATTAAAAATAAAATCTTAAGTCTTTTCGATAAACAAAAAAAAATTATTTTGAAAACAAAATTAATTTTGAAATAATTTTTTTTCCAAAAGCAATTGTTTTGTCAATACAAATTCGATTCAAATCGTATATCCGATTAGAATCATTCAAATCGGATATTTATTTCTCTCAAAAACTGTCATTTTTTGTACATTTAGTTCTGTATCTTCGAAATAGCTGGACCTGCTTTTGCCAAAAACTAATCAGCATCATTACAAATTAAATGTTTTTTGGATCATTCGAATCAGATACTCGGTTGTCTCAAAAACTCGATTTCTACTTTCTGCACTCTTTGCTCTGTATCTCCGTAACGGCTGGGCCTGCCTCTGTCAAAAACTATTTAGAACATTTCCCTATAAACAGGATCAGAATGTTATTTGAACCATTTAAATCAGTAGATCCGTGCGCCCGAAAACATAAAATGACGGACACACAAAACATACACACACACACATATCCATTTTTTCTGAAGTATGACAAAATGTTTAGAAACCTCTGAAACGTGAAGATATGCAAAAATTGTCATTTTAGACTTTCGACCCATTACTATAACTTATCCCACAAGAAGTTAATAATGAATACAGGTCAGTATTCACTCAAGGCGCATACATGTTCTGACTCCAAGCTTGACTTCTGAATAACAATACTAAAACCTCAGTGTTAAAATTATTGATACGAAATTGCCCACTAATTAAAAAATTATCTCGGCTTCTTAACCACTGTCAAGATTGTCGGCATTGGCCAATGGTTTTAATGATCACCAATTTCCCAATAGACGAGTCGCGGACTCGCAATGCAACTGCACTCTAATTATGATAGCGGCCGAGTCGTACGCCGTTCGCGATATCAACGCAATGTCCGCTCTTACCAAACCGCTCAGCTCATTGTTAGAAACGCGTCTTCCCACGCGAATCCCTTTAGATTTCGTGTCTTTTCACATGATTTATCATAATTTTCACATGACAATGGACTTTACAGCTCTAGACG